ATATCACTGCTGACGTCAGATGGATCTTGGCTGAAAGCAAAGAGTACCAGAAAGATGTTTACTTGTGTTTTATTGACTATACAAAGACATTTGACTGCATGGCTCATAACAAATTATAGATAACATTGAGAAGAATGGGAATTCCAGAACACTTAATTGTGCTCATGTGGAATATGACATAGACCAGGAGGCTGCTGTTCGAACAGAACAAGGGGATACTGCATGGTTTAAAATCAGAAAGGGAGTGTGTCAGGGTTGTATGCTTTCACCATACTTATTCAATCTGTATACTGAGCAAATAATCCAAGCAGCTGGACCATATGAAGAAGAACGTGGCATCAGGATTGGAGGAAGAGTCATTAACAAACTGCGATACGCAGATGACACAACTTTGTTTGCTGAAAGTGAAGATGACTTGAAGCATTTATTGCTGAAGATTAAAGACTACAGTCTGCAGTATGAATTACACCTCAACCTAAATAAAATGAAAATCCTCACAACTGGATCAATAAGCAGCATCACGACAAACAGAGAGAAGGTGGATGTTGTCAAAGATTTCATATTACTTGGTTCCACAATCAACACCAATGGAAGCAATAGTGAAGAAATCAGATGACATATTGCACTGGGAAAATCTGCTGCAAAAGACCTCTTTCAAGTGCTGAAGACTAAGGTGTCTCCTTGAAGACTAAGGTGTGCCTAACCCAAGCCATGGTGTTTTCAATCACCTCATATGCATGTGACAGCTGAACAATGAATAAGAAATGCCAAAGAAAAGTTGATGCTTTTGAGTTGTGGTGTTAGCAAAGAATACTGAAAGTACCATGGACTGCTAGAAGAACTAACAGATCTGTCCTGGAAGAAGTGCAGCCGGAATGCTCCTTGGAAGCGAGAATGGGCAGACTTGGTCTCACCTACTTTGGTCATGTTGTCAGAAGGGAACATTCCCTGGAGAAGGATATCATGCTTGGTAAAGTAGAGGGTCAACAAAAAAGGAGAAGACCCTCAACGAGATGTGCTGGTACAGTGGCTGTAAGAATGGGTTCAGGTATAGCAACAATTGTGAGGCTGGTACAGGACAAGGCATTGTTTCATTCTGTTGTACATAGGGTTGCTATGAGTCAGAGCCGACTTGATGGCACCTAACAACAACAACAACTCTGGGTCATAGGGTATGCAAAATTCATATTAAGTGTTCTGAAGCAGTTATAACAGAGTCCCTAGGTGGTGCAAGCAATTAAGTGCTCAACTACTAGCCAAGAAGATGGTAGTTAGAAGCCACCCACAGGCACCTCAGAAGACAAGCCTGGTGATCTGGTTCCAAAAGGTCACAGCTTTGAGAACCCGGCAGAGCTGTTCTACTCTGTACACATGGGGTCACCATGAGTTGGAATGGATTCCACAGAAACTAACAACAAAAGTATCACTGTTGTTAGGTGCTATCAGGTCAGCTCCGACTCATAGCAACCTTATGTACAACAAAATAAAACACTGTCTGGTCCTGCACAACTTTCACAATCCTTGCTATGCTTGAGTCCATTGGGGCAGCCACTGTGTCAATCCATCTTGCTGAGGGTCTTCTCCTTTTTCACTGATACTTTGCTAAGCATGATATCCTTCTCCAGGATCTCCTGGTCTCTTCTGACAACATGACCAGAGTAGGTGAGATGAGGTCTGGACAGTCTCACTTCTAAGGAGCATGTTGGCTCCATATAACAGCAAAAGTGGTTATGCCAATATACTCCAAATAGCAGTTTAGGAGAGAGCATATGAGAGGACCATGTCCTTCCATCACTGAATATTATCAGTATTTTAAAAACTTTTACCCAGTTAGTGGGAAAGTAGTAGTATTTTATGATTTTAATGTTCATTTCCCTAATGACTGATGAGATGGAATAGTTTTTCATACATTACTTGGCCATGTGAGTATCCTTTACTGTGAAAAGTCACTTGCCCATTTACCCATTCACTTGTTTCTCTGTCTTATTGATATATAGGAATTCTTTATAGATTCTCAATAGGACTCCTTTGTCAGTTATATATATTACAAATATCTTCTCCCTTTTTGTGCTTGTCTGTGGTATAAAATATGTGATGATTTAAATGCATGATAGCAATAATACTAAGCAGGAGCCAGAGAAAGAGAGCCAATGTGACTGGAAGACTTTGTATTGTCCAGGAAGTAAGTTAACCGACCACTTAGAGTCTAAAAAGTCAGGGATAACAAATGACAAAGTCTATGGTAACCATTAAAAGTGAAATAAAAGTATGTATAATTTGTGAGTCACAGATATGAAAATGGAATGATAAAAATAATTGATTAAAAGAATGCAAGAGAAGAGAAAGAAAGGGACATAAAAATCAGCAGGCCAAACAGGAAATAAAGAGTAAGAGAGATTTATACCCAAATGTATCAGTAATTAAAACAAAACAACAACAACAAAATGAAAATTGAAAATAAAAGAATGGTTTAAACAGATATTACAGAAAAGTGTGAACCAAAAGAGAGCTAATATTTTAATTTTAATATCAGGTAAAATAAATAGAGATATAAGTGACAAAGAAGAACAACATATGTCAATCAATAAAAGAATAGATGAAGAAGACATGCTGCTGTTGAATTCCCTTCCCTCTGCAAAAAAAATAGCCTCAGAATAGATATAGCACTGACTGATGAACCATGAGGAAACACAGATAAATCATTAATTATAGTTGGAGATTTAAACACATTCATCTTAAAAACTAATATACCAAATTGGCAAACAAATAAGCAAAACTATAAATCTGAATACAGAATTAATAAGGTCAACTTAATATCGGTTTATTAGAATCTTACACTCAATAAATAAAAAATATAATTTTTTGTAGCATCTTTTAACATGCACAAAAATTTATGACTAGGCCACAAAGGAACCTTTAATAAATTTCAAAGTGTCAATGCCATACAAATAGCTTCTATTTCTAATGTGATAAAATTAGCAATTAATTAAAACAAAATACCTTGAAAAATCCCATATTTGGAAGTTAAAAAACATCACTGAATAAACTTTGCACTAAAGAGCAGTTTGTAAAGTAAGTTATGAACTACTAAGAACTTAAAGACAGTGATAAGGTTTCCTGCTGAAACGTGTGATATAGTTAAAGCAAGGACCCCTGGTGGTGCAGTAGTTAAGTGCTCAGCTATTCTTCTGGGTCAGGAGTACGAACCCACCCAGAAGTTTCATGGGAGAAAAGACCTGGTGATCTGCTCCCCTAAAGATAACAGTCCTTCCCAGTTTCAATTCATATAGAAGCATTAGGCATGCTCCCACAAGGCTGTGGTAGGCTAAATACCAACAGAACAAAACAAAACAAAAACAAAAACAAAAAAAACCAAACCAGTTACCATCAAGTTGATTCTGATTCACGGTGACCCTATGTGTGTCAGAGTAGAACTGTGTTCCATAGGGTTTTTCCCATTCTTTTGAGGTGCCCTGGGGTATGTTCAAACTGCCAAGCATTTGGTTAGTAATTGAGTGCTAATGGCCCTCAAATATGTCCAAACCCTAATCCCTGGAACCTGTGGATTTGCCTCATATGCAAAAGGGGCTTTGCCAATGTAATTAAGTTAAGGATCTTGAGATGTGAGATTATCCTGGACTATCCAGGTGGGCCCTAAATGTAATCACAAGTGCCCTCCTAAGAGGGATGCAGAGGAAGATGTTACTACAGAAGAGGAGAGGACAATGTGACAATGGAAGTTGAGACTGAAGTGGTGCTGCCACAAGCCAAGGAAAGCTGGCAGGTACCAGAAGTGGAAGAAGCAAGGACCCCTCCCCTGGACCCTCCAGGAAAACATCAGTCTTAATGACACCTTGGTTTTAGTCCAAGATTCATTTTGGATGTCTGGCCTCCAGAAGTATAAGAGAATAAATTTCCATTGTTTTAAGCCAACAAATTTGTGGTAATTTGTTATAGCAGCAATAGGAAATAAATACAGGGCCCTTCCTTAACATCTTTCTTAAAATGATTTTATTGGGTCTTTGAGACCCAATGGAATTAACCTATGCATGAAGGTTGGTTAAAGAGATAAATCGGATTTTCCAGTTTTGACTAAGGGCAGCCATATAGGTCAACTGAGGATTTTGTCTCTTCTAGAATAGTCCCATGTTCCCACCCCACCCCCTAACATACACATTAAACATGCCTTCCAAAGAGCATGGGCATGCCCCTGGTAACTAACCCCAAAACCCACTGCCATTGAGTCAATTCTGACTCATAGTAACCTTGTTGGACAGAGTAGGACTGCCTCATAGGGTTTCTAAGGCTGTCAGTCTTTATGCAAGCAGATTGCCAGATTTTTCTCTTGTGCAGTAGCTGGTGGGTTCAAACAATGGAGCTTCTGGTTATCAGCCACACACTTTAAGCACTGCACCACCAGGGCTCCTTGCTAACTAACCAGTCACTCCAATACTCTGGGGAGGTGGCTTAGGGTTGGCTTGTAGGAGAGATAACCACCCATGCCCTCCCTACAGGCTTCAAGCATTTATGTCTCTTCCAGCTGGGTTTATTTGGTACACATAGAGTAGGGAAAGAAAAAAGAACACTCAATTTATCATTGTGGATTTGGTTATATGTAAGGTCTTTTCCTTTAATGCTCAATCATCAAATCAATCTATTGAAACATTTTAGATTGGAGTTAGGAAGAAGGGAGAAAAAAAAAAAAAAAACAGAAGGGCATGGGTGGGGTGTTGAGTAGGCAGAAAGAAAGTCCAGAGAATGGCAATGAGAACTCTATGACCCAGGGTGCATGTGAGAGCCATATACATTTAGTGAAAAGCATCCCTCATGTATGGATTAGTTCAGCTACTCTGCCATGACTGTGTTCCTCTTTTACATCTAGACAACAGCCACTGGGATGGAAAGAGCCCCATGGAGAAGGTGCCCCTACCTGAAGACAGATTCTACTGGCAAAGAACCTGCAGCCATTCGCTATGCAAAGTCCTAAACTTGAAACTTACTGTGCCAATGACAGTTTGAGCTGTCCTTGAATTTCTATCCACTCTTCTTTAATAATTCTTCCACATTGTAGCAGCTCCTTTGAGAGTCTCTCTGCTTTTGCCAGATTCTCTGATGCTTCCTTAAATCTAAAGTGTGTTCAGGAAAGGTTACACTTGGTTCTAGTGTGCAAAACCCCAGTCCTTAGACTTTCTTGGCTCACCCTTCCTGAGTCATTGATTAACTTCTTATTAGACTATGGGAATGAAATATAAGATTGTAAAGATTAGAGGTAAAAGGATACTTTTGAAGTGCGATTAAGGCTCTCCCCATGGTATGGAAAAGCTCAACTGAACACCTGAAAACATCTGTGTTGGCATTAAAAGGAAGCTCAATGGTGCTGGTGAGAACTTCTTGGGCTTTTTCTGTATGCTGTTTTGCTTGAAGTGACAGCCCTGTGGACAAAGAAAAAGAAGCCTCAGTTTCTCTTTCATAGCAGCTAGACAGGAGTAGAGTTGGTTATAGCCAGGAATCTAGTGAGATCCTTCCTGTGTCACCCAGTGGTGTGTGGAGATGTATCTGAGCAGCACATGTGGAGGTTTCCCCATGAGGCAGGTGTAGTAAACAAGATTATAGTCAGTTTACCTAAAAATATCATCATGATTTTTAAAAAACGAAGCATTTTACAATGAGTATTCAAGATAGCTTTTCTAAAAATGGTCCTTTTGGAAATAAACAGAGCCAGTTAGAATTGAACAGCTTTGAAACCTCACCAATATCAGACATAGAATATGTCATAAATAATTATTAAAAAAAGGAAAATGGAATACAAGGACTATTACATTCTGGGCAGGAAAGAAGGTACTCATGAATTTTAATGCTGGCTTTGTGACAGTAATGTTAATGAAATGGTAAAATCCCGGCTTTAGAGAGCTATTTTAATATGATAATACAAAGACCATGATATCTATAAAAAAGTACAAACACAAATCCCAGGAGGTAACAGACTAATGCATAACAAATCTCTTATTCCTGTGTGGTAACAGGGTAATGAGACAAGTTGGAGCAAAAAATTGCTACTAAGAACAAGGAATTAACATATTGCAATGTTCTATCAGCTGAGAGACTTGAGTACTGCTCAACTAAATGTGTTGGATACGTTTCAGCAGAGCTCCCAGACTAAGACAGACTAGAAACAAAGGCCCAGTTGTCTACTTCTGAAAGGTAGCCAATGAAAACCCTACAGACCACAATGATCAATACGCAACTGCTCATGTGTATGGCACAGCACTGAGCAGTGTTTCATGCCACTGTGCATGGGGTCACGCCATGAGTCATGGCTGACTTGGCAGCAGCTAACAAGTCTTTTATGGCTTTGTTAATTTGTAATAAGGGTGACACTGGGCATCATCAGTCATGTTTCAGGGCTTTTCACTGCTCCACACTCCCATTGTCCTCTATCACATTAGCACCCCCTTCTTCATATCCTTACATCCACATCCCTACCCCAGGTCTTTTGTTCTTAATTACACAGAATTGTATATCTAAAAAAGCTGGCAAAATATTAAATTAATTCAACCTATGTCAATAAAACCAGAAGAACATATCTTCTGATGAAGAAAACCAAGTATAGGCAATTCATGTGAGAACTCTTATCAAATTTTGTCTTTTTTTTTTTTTTAATAGTCACATATTTATCAGACATGTATCAGTGCCAATTATGTGTGCAATATTACAAAAGACATGGTGGACTGTATTTTTAACTGTGATCCCCATGCTCAGGGAACCTGAACTCAATCTACAGTGTCGAGTAAGGTTTATGAACCTGGCTCTGAAGGCAAAGAGCAGGTTGGATTCCCTGCTCTACCAATTACTATAAAATGTTGGCCTCAGCTTCTTCAACCATAAATGGGGATAATTCTATTACCTACCTCAAAGAATGATGGTGAAGATTAAATGAGATTAAGTGTGAAAAAGTTAGCATGGTGCCTGATACTCCATAAGAGCTTAATAAGTATCAGATTTTTTTTTTTTTTAAACTTTAAATTGTGAATTAAGGATTGACATATGGAAGGGCAGCAGACTACGGACAAACATCATTACTTGAAATTCCAGATGCCAGGACATTGGTGCTAGTATTGGCAATCCCAAGCCTGTGTCTTAGATCAGCTACTTATTAACAGTGTGGTCTGGGGCAAGTTGTTTCAACTCAGACTGCATTTCCTCTGACTTTTGAACAGAGGGGACGGAATTTGCACTAGATGATCTCCAAGCTCCCCTCTGGCTCTAATAGCCTTTGACCCTAACAGGTAGGATCAGTCTGTAATCAGAATAGGCCAAATTTTGGGGTGGCAATTCTATTCTTGGCATTGTTGTGCCTTTTATATCTATTATCTTATTTATATACTGTAGCAATCCTGGGGAGTTAGTCTCACCATCATTATCATTATTTTTCAGTTGAAGAAACTAAGAGTAGAGATGCAGCCTCTTGTCCAGGACTGCATAGTTAGTGAGTAGAAGACAGGGTCTACCGGACATCTGCTGATTTTATCTCCCCATATTCTTTAGAAAGGAGCTCTGGTGGCACAGTACCTAATGCATTTGACTACTGACCAGAAGGTTGGTGGTTCAAACCCATCAGCTGCTCCATGGAAGGAAGATGGGATGGGGCAATCTACTTCCATAAAGATTTACTGCCTCGGAAACCCAATAAGGGTCGCTTTGAGTCAGAATTGACTTGAAGGCAGTGCATTTGGTTTTTTTTGTTTATCCTTTAAGGATATCACATTTGATGAAGCCAGCCTCTCCCCTGGGATCCAGTGGAGCCAAAAGGCAGGTCTCGACAATCAGACCTTGGCATACAACCCAAGTTGATTCAATTAGAACTCCCAGAACCTAGGTTTTGGTTGAGGGGACATTTTTTTCTCTAGTGAATGCTAAGGAGGTAAGCCTCAAGCTGTTGGCAGTCTCCCTGATGTCATTTGGGCAAAACCTGGCTAAGAATGGACTCAATACTAAGAAAAAGAGCCAAGAGGTGGGAAAAGAGAGAAACTGGATCCTGATCACATTGTTTAAACATCTGGATCTTGCTAAATCTAAAGCAAGTTTTACCCTTGGACTTTTTAGCTGTATGAGTAAATAAATTCCCACCCCACCCCTCTTTTTTAAATGCCTTTTACTTATTTGGTCATTTGCAGTCAAGGGACTCTTGATCAATACAAATGCAAATGGACCCCATTCTAGACCCCCCACAGTGTGCCCTGGACTCTCTACAACACCTTCAGAGCCAACAGATTTTCTCCTAAGAATTCTACTTTTAATATCATAACAAGCAAAACTCAGAAGGGACACATCTCTTCTCCTTTTTCCCTTTGAATATTTATATATTGTATATCCTACTGAGTACTTCTGAAAGGAAAGTTCCTCTTAATATTTGGAGAGGGGAACATCTAAGAAAAACTTGATCCATTTAGTTAAGTGTGAATCCAATTTTGGGAAAAGATCAGAAAACAAACAACTAACCCCCCTCAGTTCTGAGTGGAGTTCACCTTTCAGCTGGAGGTAGCCTTGAGCCAGATTAACATGTGCCTCTGCTAGTTTCCAATGCGAGTCACCATAGCAAATTCTTGTCAGTGCTACACAGCGCACAAGCTCCTGGATAGCTTCTTTGTACTGTTAGGAAAAAAACATGGGATTAATATTAAAACAACTTACTAAGAATCATAAAGCAGAAAGTCAAATTGTACTTTTATCCATTCCATAAGTATTTACAGAGTGTCTACTATGTACTAGGTCTGGTTCTAAGCACTTGGATACATCAGAAAACAAAAAAGACTAAGATCAGTATCCTTGTCATCAGGAAAGTTATTAGTTGGGTGAAATTGACAATAAATGAGAAATAAGTAAATTCTGGCCTAGTGCCTAAGGCATTTGACCAGAAGCCTGGTGGTTCAAACCCATCAGCCACTAATCAGAAGGAAGATTGGGAAATCTACTTTCATAACAATATAGCCACAGAAACCCAAGGAAGGGTTGCTATGAGTTGGGACTGACTCCACAGCTGTGAGTTTGTTTTTTTTTTTTGGTTTTGATGTCGTATTTAGAGAAGTCCCTGGGTGGTACAAAATGGTTACGTATTCAGCTACTGATTGGTTGAAGGTTTGAATCCATCCAGAGACACCTTGGAAGAAAGGCCTGATGATCGACTTCTGAAAGGTCAGAATGCAACGCAATGCAACCACTGCTGTGGAGTCAGATCTGACTCATATTGATCCCTCCTTGGGTTTCTAAGGCAGTATCACTACGGAAATAGATTTCCCAACCTTCCTTCCAAGGAGTGGCTGGTGGGTTTGAACTGCCAGCCTTCTGGTTAGCAGTCAAATGCTGTGGTAGTTATGTTTGTGTGTCAACTTGGCTGGGCCTGGTTGAGTGGCTGGGCAGCTGGTGGTAGTTATTCCCCATGATGAGAGTGGCAATCAACTCCATGGTGGGATCTACCACAAGCATCTGAGTAGCTGCCTTTGGGATGTGGTGTGCTTCCTGTATATAAGGAGAAGCCTCAGGAATGGTCTTTAGCTTATGGCACGCTTGGACCCTGCATGCAGCCTCAGCAGCTAGTAGCTGTCTGAGTGAAGAAACACCTCTACCTCTAGTGGGCCAGGAGCAGGAGGCAGAGCTGGACCCCAAGGTTGAGGGGCTTTTATCCAGCCGCTAGAGCGTGGCACTTTGGACTTGGACTTAAAGCCTCCAAACTGTAAGAGAATAAACTCCTGTTTGTTAAGGCCATCCCATATATGCTATATTTCTGTTAGAGCGGCACTAGGTAACCAGAACAAATGCCTTAGGTGCTATACCACCAGCGCTCCTTGAAAGATCACAGACATTGAAAATCCTGTGGAGGACAGTTCTGCTCTGACATACAGAGAGGAACACATGGTGTTGACTGAATGGCAACTGGTTTGGAATAGTGCATTTAAAGGTGAAAAATGTAATGGAATAAAGAAGAAAACAGAAAAAGCAAAGCAGACATGTAATCATTTCTTAGGTTTTCCAGCTGCTCAACAATGAACACCTACAATATATTCATGCACAATAAATGGGCAAATGGTAATGGTTTCCAGATACATTTCAAATATTTTGGCATGTTGTATTTTCATTCTTGTTTGATTCATGGAATTTTTAAATTTCAATTTTTATTTCTTCTCTTACCCAGTCTTTCTCAAGGAGGGTGTTGTTCAGTTTCCATGTGTTTACCCTTTTTCCATTGATCTTCCTATTGTTGATTTCTAATTTGATAGCATTATGATCTGAGAAGATGCTTTGCAGTATTTTGATGTTTTTAAATTTATTAAGGCTTGC